GGCGTCGGCGTCGCTGTCGCTGACGGCGACTGATCGCTGTATTTGTTCTTGATGGTGCGCGTGTTAGAGTTGTTGTAAATTGATTTTGTTGCTGTTGGTGCTGGGGCTAGTGCTGCTGCTAGCGGCGACGACTGTTGCGCCCATTTTCAGCCCACTCGCTGACGCGCCCATTTGACGCCGCCGTTTGGTTTGCTGTCTCTGGGTTTTTTTTTCAGTTATTTTATTTTTTTTTTTTTAGCTGCCTGCTATTAGCAAAGCGGATGTTGTTGGTGTTTTTTCAGTGCCTGGCCCCAACCGAACACCCACACACTCTGCCGCTGTTGTTGGCAACGCATGACACTTTTTGTTGTGTGTGTGTGTGTGTTTATGTTTATGTGTCTATCGCTCGCCCACAAATGTTGACCCCATCGCTTGGCCCTTTCTTATCGGGTATTTGTGTGTTTTTTTTAATATATTAAGTTTTTGCGAAACATTTTGAATGACGAAAGATATTGCAAAAATTGATAATATTGCAAATGAAGGCTGACGATATTGTAAAATTGAATAATATTTCTCTTGAATTTAAGAGTGTCTCCAGAGAGGGCTAAAGATTTAATCGCAAACAATTGTATATAATATTGCATATACCCTATAGATTATATTGTATACATTGATCTTGAGCTGAGACAAAAGTCGAGTCACCCACCCAACAACAACAACAACAACAGCCACAATCAAATCAACATCAATAACAATGCCCTTGGCTTGAAAAGCCACACGCAGCGAGTCACTGAAAGGGCGTGGGCGGGCGGCAAGGCAAGCGAGGGAGCGTGGAGGGGAGCAGCTGGGCTGAGATCTGCAGGCTTTGTAGACCTACCCAACGAGACACAACAAACCAAAGCTGAAGCCACAGCCACAGCCGCAGCCGCAGCCGCGAAAGCAAATGCAAAGCAAACGAATGAGAAACGAAATAAAGCAGAAGACTCAAACGCCCCCAGTGGCGCAAAGTGTGGGCAACAACTGTAAAAAGCACACAAAGCATAAAATCAAATATGCAAAAACCAACAACAACAACAACAAATAACCATACGAAATATGACGCGAAAAGAGACGAAAGAAAACACGCTTCGGTACGGTCACACACACACACACAGACAAAAATTCTCTCATTCCTTACACACACACACACAGACAGACCGACAGAGCACTCCCCGGCAGGCCAGGCCAGGCCCGCCCCCCTTGCCCATTTGCCGCATGGGCCTGGGCCTAGGCGCGTGTGGGTGGCTCCCACTGTGTTGGCTCTGGGCCATCGAAAGAAACGCGCCCATGTCCCATGCCCCATGCTCCATGCCCATAACAAAAACAATTTTGTCGCCATACAAAAATTGTTTGTTTTTTGTTCAGCATCTCACTTGAAAAATGAGGCGCAGCCATCAGCAACATGTGGGCCAGCAGCAGCAACAACAACAACTACAACAACGTAGAGCCACCCACCAACAACAACAAACGTGCCGCCAAAATTACAACGCAACAAACAGTTGTTGTTGTTGTTGTTGCTTGGCAATTTGTGTTGTATTTAGAGTGAGAGATGCGCTTAGATATCCTCCAAATGTGCAAAGTTTTTGGGCGCGTTGGGTTTTCGCAATAAAGTTGCTTGCCCCGCTTCCACTTCTTCCATCAAGCCCAAGCGTTGTTGTTGTCATTTTATTAATGCATGCAGCAAAACAGACGCTGCGATCAGGCGACAAAAGTGTCGAAAGTGGGTTTGAGTGTGCAAAGCAAACTGAA